CTGAACTTCCAATCTCCTTTTAAGCCCATGCTAAGACCTAAGATACTCTGGATGGAAGATGTGGGAATGGATTTAATTAGGAGCCTCACAAGGACGCAAAAGTGTTGGTGAGGTTTGGGTAAATTATTACAGCATAAACAGCTAACTTGAAACACATGGAAACAACTACTTGTTTGATTTGAACCCAAGAATGAATAGAGACTAAATTTTAAATTCTTCACTTGTTTTTCATCTATCACTCACTTCATGTTATCAGATATTTATTAGGTTCAGAGACTCATGTGCCTGGTATGGACTTTGTTAATCAAGACCATACTTATATCGTCATTGGAGATATTTATGCTGTGTCAACACTAAACACTCACGCACATATGACCCAAAACATATGGTTTGGCTGTGCTGACACTCAGGACATGTGCTACCAAACAAGTGATTTGACAGCATGATATAAAACTGAAACAATAAACTGATCCAGGAATATTTTAACTTCTGACACAGAACAACTAAACAAACATTACCAACAATAATTCCCATCACCACCATCCATTTTTAAGCATGTACTCCTTGCCAATCTAAATACTTTACATAAGCACTTTTGGGACACATCTCCATGAGGCACTTTTTAACCAAATCACAGAGAGGTTACGTTACTTGCCCAAAGTAAATGGCTAGTAAATAAAACTGCTGAAATTGGAAAGCAGTTTAATATTTGTTGAATTATTTGAGTACATGACTAAATGAACAAGTGATCCTAAAACCCTATTTCTTAACCATACATGATCATTCTAGGTTTACCAGTCAGGCCTGATTAGGTGGTAAGGAGAAACCTGAATGTATAAACACTAGGTTTATTTATTATGTGAGTCCTTTTGAGTTGGTAAAGAAACTTGTTACTTATCACTTGGAGGTCTCGGCTAATGAGAACAGGGTCACGGCTAGAACACAGATTTTTTGGACTCCCGGTCCATTGTTGCATCCATCTACTACCATCTCACTTCCATCCTGTGACACCTATTACATTGCAACAGCCACCGTCTCCTAGGATACCCTGCAGCTATCCAGACCTTGAGTACAGTTAAAGAATCATAAAACACACCTTTTGTATCACCTACCGTAAGATAGATTTTGCTTTTTTTTCTCTCTCTACATTGTAACGCTGATTCTACATCAACTATTCAAATCAACAAACATTTATCAAATATTATTAGCTGGTGTGGATGATGGTAATGAAAACACCCACAATTCTTAGTCTTGAGAAGCTTCCAATCTAGTCGTAGTAAAGTATGTACACACATAACTTTATGGTCACTACAACAAGAGAGCAGGAAAAGCTTTCATAAAAGATGTAAGATATTATGTGGGTCAAGATATTGGGGAGGCAATATCACAATATCTTTAACACTGGTTATGTTTCTGATACGTTTACTCATCATGCTAACAGCCCATAAGAGGTATTCCCCGTTTCAGTTGTGAAAACTGAGACTATGTCAAGTGACTTTCCAGAGTCACATGGGTATTGCAGTAAGTAGTAGAGCTAGGATTTTAACTTAAGGAGCTGGATGCTTGGATATAAACTTTTAATCACTATGGGACAGTGCCCAGGGTTCAGATGCCCAGGCTCCTGAGGTCTAGCTTACCCAGGTTTGAAGCCTGGTTCTGCCACTTACCGGTCATGGGGAAAACTTACTTTATCTTTCTTCATGTTCACATCTGTAAAATAGTACTTACTGGGGTTTGAATGGCCAACTACAATTGGGTAGTTACCTGAATTAGACCACCTGGCTGGCCACTAAGAAGATACTTACTGTGGTGGGCTCACTACCCTTCAGGGGCTGTTTCCCTGACCGCATCCCAGAGCTGATCAAACACAGGGAGACTCTCTCATAAGCACAGACTCTATTGTGTCCAGTCACCATGCGGGGAATACATTCAATATTGCTGGGCTATTGCTGGCTTTGAAGATGAAGGGAGCAGAAAACCAAGGAGTGCAGGCAGCCCCAAGAACCAGGAAGAGGAAAGGAAATAGAATTCCTCTAGAAACCTAGAAAGTAGGGCAGACCTGCTGACACGTTTTTAGCCTGGTGAGATCCATTTTGGACTTGTGAGCCCCAGAACTGAAGGAGAATTAATTTGTGTTGTTTTAAGCCACGAAGCGGAAGTCATTTGTTATAGCAGCAACAGGAAACTAATACAAATGCCAGGATCATTCCCATCTTAGAGCATTTTCACAGGTTGCTCACCAGTTGTTCCTCTGCCTAAAGTGCTCATCTCCAAGACATTAGCATCATGGACATTTCCCCCACCAGGGGTTTCAGTGGGATCTCTGCTTAAATTGCGCCCCTTTAGAAAGACTTTCCACTCACAGTAGCCTCCTTGTTACTTTATCATGTGGCCCATTTTATTTTTATCATAACACTTATCACTACTTGTTACTTTTCTTTTTATGCCGTTATGGTATTACCAAGGAAAGCTGATCTTGTCTCTCACTGTTCCTTGTAACTCCAGTATCTAGAAGAATGCCCACCATGAAGTAGGAGCTCCATATATATTTGTTGAATAAATGAGCATTTGTTCCAGGCAAGGCAATACACATATACTGTCCCAAAGACTCTTTTCAACAGCCTCACGAGATAGAATTCCCGCCACCATTCTGTTAAACATAAAGCCCATGAGAGCAATCATAAGGTGTACTGTGTTCTTGGCACATAGTAAACATTCATAAATATTATAAGTATTGAGTCACAAAGAGACTGAGTAGCCAATGGAACACAGTTTAAAAGAAAATACTTGCTACATTGATGCCTATAGTTTTCATAATCTGTTGTTGAAGAACCCCAGAGCTACAGCAACTCCATTCTCATGAGCTCAGGCCTCCATTCCACCTGCCTTCTGGACATCTCTATTGACAATCCCCACCGGCCTTGAACACAAGACATAAACTGAATTTGTAACCTCGTGCCCAAATCTACTTTGTAGATTCCCTGGCTGAGTGGATGGCACTGGCATCTATGGGACAGATTCTGGGAGTCATTTCAGACTGGTTCACCATTGCTCTAAAGATGACCATCATTTTTTTAAAAATTCTTCCTGTTTAACAGTTCTTATACGAATTGCCTTTTCCTGCTCCATTGACTTAGTACTCCTGCCTGGACTTTGTCCCTCTGCTTCTAAAATAATCTCTCCAGAAAAACGAGACATGCCATCACTAGCTGGTTTAACATCCTTCTGTGGCTTCCTATAGTATTTAGTGAACTCCAAGTCGTTTACCACAAGAGAAGTCACACAGGATCTGTACCCTGCCTAGCTCTCCACCCTTCCCACATCCCTGTTTCTTCATTAACTAGTCTAGCTACCCTGGTCTTTGAATTCCATGGTGTCAAACTCTTCTTTGCTGAGCAATAACTTTCTCCCACCTGCCTGGCATCCTTTAGATCTCAGGGAGGCCCGCCCCATCTAGATGATTTGTAACATCCTGTTCTTTTTCTATGTCAATTTGTAATTATATATCTGTTTATATCTGTCTCCTCTTCAAGACTATAAGCTCCTGAGGGCAAGGTTTTGTGTCTTTTTTGGTCTACAACTGAATGAGCAGCACTGAGCCACACCTGCCTGGCACACAGTGGAGGCACATTAAATATTTGTTCAATAAACAAATACAATATTTATTAAAGAATGTGTATCATGTGTCTTTTAGAGAAGCATGCTTTATACCGTCTGGTTGGCATGATTGCAAGTGCAATGGCATGGGTAACAAAAAGAAAAATTGAGGTGAAGAGGCCAGGCAAAGAAAAAATGACAGGGAAAAAAAATGAGCGAGAAAGAAGTGATAGAATTAAAGAGAGCAATGGAAAAAAGAGAAGGCCGAAAGGGCCTTGCAGTGGGTTGAATGGTGGTCACACCAAAGACAGGTGCACATAAAATCTCTGGAGTCTGTGAATGACACTGTGTAAGTTTCCTAGGGTGGCCTTTATAAAGTACCACAAGCTGGATGGCTTAAAACAACATTTATTATCCCACACTTCAGGAGGCCAACGTTCTGAAATCCAGGTGTCCGCAGGGTTGGCTCCTTTTGAAGGCCCGGAGGGAAAATCGTTCCATGCCTCTCTCCCAGCTTGTGGCGGTTGTTTCCAAGGTGAATCCTTGGCTTGTAGACACATCACTCCAATCTCTGCTTCCAGCTTCACATGACTTTCTCCTCTTCTGTCTCTTGTGAGTCTTCATGTGCATGACCTTCTTACACGGAAATGAATCATTGGATTTAGGACCTGTCTTAATCCAGTATGACTTCATCTTAACAAATTACATCTGCAAGACTCACTTTCCAAATAAGGTCACATTCTGAGGTTCCAGGTAGATATAAATATTTGGGGAACAATATTCGATCTTCAATGAATTTGAAAAAAAGGATATTTGCAGATTAATCAAGGATCTTAAAATAATTCTGGCTTATCTGGGTGGGCCCTAAATTTAATGACAAATGCCATTAGAGGGCACACAGAAAATTAGAAGACACAGACAGAGAGAAGAGGAGGCAATATGAAGACAGAGGCAGAGATTGGAGGGATGCGGCCATAAGCCAAGGAAGCTAAGTAATGCCACCACCAGAAGCTGGAAGGGGCAAGAAGGGATTCTCTGCCCAGAGTCTCCAGAGGAAGTGCAGCCTGGCCCACACCTTGATTGTGGGCTTCTGGCTTTCAGGGCTGTGAGAGAATAGAGTTCTGTTATCTCAAAGCCAGTTAAAGGTACTTGTTACAGCAGCCATGGGAAATTAATCCAAGCCTTCACGTAACAGAATTCACAGTGTACTGAATTCTTTTCCTTTAAGTAACCATTAAAAAAACAAAACAAAACAAATAAAAAACCCTTTCATGAGCTAGATTCTGCTCTAAACAGATCAAAGAGTTCTTGGGAAGTAAGAATTTGTGAACAGTCATAAAGTTAAAGTGGCTCAATTTCTGTAAGCATCACGTTTAATGATCTTTTAATGCAAGGGCATGCCTTCCATGACTGAGATACATGACTCTTTAACCTAGAAAGAAATGACTCTAATAATCGTGTTGCAAACTATCTTTTATGTGTGCCCACTTCTCTTGTGCCTGCCTAATAATTAACATCAGATTTTATCACACCTCCTGTGCTTTCTCTTTTTAGATTTAATGTTAAGTTCTTTTTATCTTGAGGTTCACTTTTTGTTATTCTGCCTGATGTATAATTAGGTGACGCTGCATGCTGTGCAACCTTCAACTGCTGCCACAACGCACCAGCCGGCTTAGTTTTTGGACAGCAAGCCATGTTATCAAGATAAATTACTACAGGGAAATACAGGGTGGGTCTCTTTCAGTCTTTGACTACATTCAGAGTTAAAATCTGGCATCACTGAACCACCCCTGAAGCCCCTTCCAAACCTCAAGTTCCACAGTTAACCCCGGAACCATTAGGGACCGGACTCGGTCCAAAACGTCACACAGCATTTTATTTCTTTGTTTGGGCGCGTAAGGGGGAGGCGTTGCGGTCCAGCAGGGTCTACGGGTGGGCGGTCGTCCATGAAACTGCCCATGTCACTGGCGGCCAGGAAACACCTGCAGGTAGAAACTGGGGGACAGGCTCCAGCACGCGGGGCGATGGAAGTTAGGACCCCGCCTCCTCTCTACTCGGCGGGCCCTTCACCTCTTTTGCCTCGGGGTCCCTGAGCCCCTCCCTGGTGGTCCTGTTTCCCCAGAAGAAAGATTTGGCCCCCGCCCCTTGCAGTCCTCCCACTCCCGGCAGGTGTAGGCAAGGGGGCTCCGGGCAGAGCGCACGCCGCAGGCGACAGACCTAGCGGGCTCCGGCGGACGGACGCCGGAAGAAAGGGATCCAGCGAAGTTGGGCGTCGGCTGGGCGCCCAATTTTCTACCCACCCGCGCGGCTGAAGCCTCCCCCCGCCGCCACGCCCCCCAGGGAGCGGCTTTTCCGCGCAGATAGGGGAGCGCGTCCGACTCCCGGCTCCGGCGGGGCACTGGGAGGCCGAGTGGCCCCGCCCCCTGCGCACACGTCAGCGCCGGCGTCGGGGAAGCGTCGTAATACCCCGAATAAGCGCGCCCAGCCAAAACCCGCTGCACCCCGCCGCAGATGCCGACAGAGACATTTGTGATCAAGCCCACGGCGGCCCTTCCCGCAGTCTCGGGGCGAAGCGAAAGAGAACCTCTCCGTAGATGTGTTCCAGGGGCGCTGGCGGCCGTGCCTACAGGTTTGTTGGAGAAGGACCCTCGATTAGGCGAGGTGGCTGTGGCGCCTTCCGGCTCTCCCCGCCCCAGTCATCCCTAAGGTTCCGCAGGTCCTGGAAGTGGCGAGTCCGTCAGCCCCACCCGGCGGCCAGCCTCTTTTCCCGGCCCGCCCGCGCCGGCCCGCCTGGCCCAACGGTCCGCTTCGGAGCCTTCGCGCACGGGAGAGGCGGCCCGAGCGGCGCCAGCGGGTGCGCGTCTATCCGGAGGCGCGTGGTAGTGATGGCGGCGCTCAGTGAGGCTTCTCTGTCACTGGATACTACTACTCCCAGCCCTCCGCGAAGCCGCCCGAGCAGCCCCCGGGTCTCCCGTTTACAAGTAGCAATTTGACTTGCTCTGCTGCATGTTAAGAGGGACGGTGGAAAGTGTGCGGACGCCCCCGGGATTCAGCGAACGCAGCTCCAAAAGGAAAAAAGGCAAACAAGTAAACAAAACCCACCCATCCTGACAAACATGAGGCTGCTGGAGAGACTGAGGAAAGAATGGTTCATGGTCGGGATCGTGCTGGCGATCGCCGGAGCGAAGCTGGAGCCGTCCATCGGGGTGAACGGGGGTAAGTCCGCGCCTCCGCGCGCTCCGCTTCGGAACTCCCGGGCGAGTCCCGGAGAGGAGTGGGGGGCCCGGTCCTCGGGGAGCGCCTGCCTCTCTCGGGGGCCCCGCCCCGCCCAGGTGCCCTCCGGCCCGGGGGCCCTTTGGCTGACGTTTCCGGTGGCCGACCCCAGAGGGGATCTGTCTGCACAACGGGGCCAGCGACTTTGAACGCGGGCTCCCTTTCCCGCGGACGGACAGTGAGTCTCCTCGGTGCCCAGGAGTGAGGGGACCGAGACTGGGATGAAACTTCTTCTCTCCCCTGCCGAGCAGCACCCTGTCCCGCGGATGCTGGGGTGCCCGCCGTTCCTGGCCTGTCTCGGAGTGGGCACCATGACCTGGTCCATTTCCAACCTTCCCCCCTTAAAAAAAAAGTAGGGGGAGAGAAAGAGGCAGGGGCACCCCTTCCTCCTGCAGCCCCAGCTTTTCGGCCAGAGTCTGGGGGATGCGGAGCAGCGGGGGCAGCTCCGGGGCCGAGTGACACCGTCGCACACTCTCCCGACGGGACGCCGCTTCCGCGTGCGGCGGGCGGGCCGGTGGCTGCGGGCGGGCCGGTGGCTGCACCCCGCCGTGGTCTCCGGGCGCAGGCTGTGTGGGGCTCTGTGCTGTGTGTGTTTTGGCGAGGAAATGTGGGCGGGCCGAGCCACACTCGGACCCCGAAGAGTGGGAGCCTTGTAGTGCGGGGAGAGGCATGGGTGGCCGCGGCTGGAGACATCATTAGCCTTTTATGCCCCTTAACCGCCCCCTTCTCCACGCCCCCCATCATGTCCTACTTTTCATAAGCATGCATTGAATTCCTTTTTGACCTTGTTTGCCAGTTTCCAGGCTCATTGACCGGTTTAATACATCAGTTATAACTACAACAGGGACAGATAGGAGAGAAGTGGGCGCAGGCGATCTTTCTATGGTCGGAAGTGCTCAGGAGCATATTTGGAGTTATTTGCTCCTTCTTCCTTGTTAAACCATGATGGGGGGCAACACGATCTCTCAGGAGGACCGTGGTTCCTTCTACCCTCTCCCTTCCGTACCTCCATTGAGAAGTCGCTTCAGGGAACATGGAAAAGAAAGGACTTGAACAAAGATTGTGGGCATTAACACTTTTTTTTACGTTAGAAATGCCGGTTCCCATTTTCACTAGTCCTCATGCCATCAGTCTAGGATAATTCATTTCTTTTGTTTAATTTCCAAAGAGTAGACTGTGAAGCGCTCAAAGGGATCATTAAAGTATTTTAAGCCAACAGGCTTCTTTCGCAGTTGAAGACCCTGAGGCCTGAGATCAGGTGACTGACCCTAGGATGAGTGAGCTAGGGAAGTGGAAGGACTGGAGACCAGGACTCCCCCTTATTTCATACCAGTTGCAAAATCCATGCACATTTTCTTGATGAACAATCATTAAAAATGCATAACCGTTATAAAGAAGGAGCTCTCTGGAATAAAGACATTTTCTGTGCCCTGATTTTTAGCCCCAAGGAGCAGACCAGAATCCACTAGTGTTAGATAACAGTTAAACTTCTAGGGTTTCTTTGATAGCTGTCCATGTGTGAAAGTTACTTTCTCTAAAACCAGAAGTTAAGCAAACAATTATATAGGCTGTCAGGCTAAGTTCTTGTTACTTCTGTTGAACTTCTGATTGACCTCAAAACCTCTTAAATAAAAATAAACCTCCAAATATTGACAAGGAACACTTTCACTCCACTAGTTAATCCAACAAAAATCTAGGAACAAGGAAAGGAATGGTTGCTGAAAATGTTTCTGTCCTATTCTGCTGTTTAGACTGGTCCAAAGCACCTCTTTTTGCTTCTAACTTTTAGTCAGTTTCCATGTATGGGCTCAGTACATTGATGAACAATTTTCAGAACAGTTTTCTAGATATTATTTTAAATAGGAAAAGTTTTTATAGTCTTCAACTTAAGATGCTCACTTCACTTTTACCTGGATCACTACCTTAATGATTACACTCTTTTTTTTTTAATCCTTACCCAAGCATATGTTTATTTATTTTTAAAATGACTTTAGAGTGAGAGGAAGGGAGAGAGAGAGAAACATCAATGTGAGAGAAACATCAATTGGTTGCCTCCCGTACATGTGCGACTGGGATCAAACTGCAACCTTAGATATGTACCCTGACCAGAAATCAAACCCACCATCCTCTGGTGTATGGGACCATGCTCCAGTCAACTGAACCACCCAGCCAGGGCTACACTCTTTATTTTTAAGTGTAAGACTTCTACACTTCAAGTGTCACAACTATGATCTGACCTCCCTTTAAAAAAATCTTCAGCCCGGCTGGTGTGGTTCAGTGGTTGAACGTGAACTCATGAACCTGGAGGTCACATGCCCTGGTTGCAGGCAAGATCCCCAGTAGGGGACATCAGGAAGCAGCCCATCAATGATTCTCTCTCACCATTGATGTTTCTATCTCTCTCTCCCTCTCCCTTCCTCTCTCTGAAGTCAATAAAAACATATTAAAAATATTTTAAAAAATCTTTATGGCCAATTAGTGAGTTTTGTAATGGCAGGAAATTTATAGATGTGGGAACCCTAAAATTAGAGAAGTTGAATGACTTTCCAAATGGGAAAAAGCATACTAGGTACTAGCCTAGATAATTTAATTCTTAGTTCACAGTTCTTTTTACTCACTTATCTTTTACTTTTCAATAAATAGAAGAAGTGTGGAAATAAAGAGCCACAATAGATGTAAATGTATATAGATGCTGAGGTATTGTTAATCGGTTTATTGAAACCCAGGGAAACTATGAGCTGTGCAACCTTAGTGTTTAATCAAGTTCAACATGGTGTTATTCATTCTTGGGAAGAGAAAGGTTTACTTCTTTGGAAGTACAGAGTAACTTTCTCATTTCTACCTGCATCTTAACTTAAATGATTGCCATTAATAATACATAAACCCTAAAAAGGAAACTGCTTCATTAATTTTCAGCTAAAAGAACATAACCAGAAACATGCTATAAGCCTAAGAACATTGGCACAAATATCTTAGATCAGGTTTAGAAGTAAAATTTACTTTGAAGATGAGTAGATTTTATGAAATAAGTAGAGGCCCAGTGCACGAAACTCGTGCACGGGTAGGGTCCCTAGCGGCTGCCAACTGGGGCCTCCCTTCCCCTGGCTGCCTGCCACCTCCGCTGGCTAGGGTGGGGCCAGCTGGGGGGGACGGGCTGCGGGCAGTTGGCCAGCCAGTCCCACCCCCTGGTTGAATTCCCAGTGGAACTCTCAGTCAAGGGGACAATTTGCATATTAGGCTTTTATTATATAGGATAATAGTTCCTTTCATTTTTTAAGCATTCCAAATAGTTTTCTCTCTCTTTTCACCCCTAACCCCCATTAAAAAGTGTGAGTTCTGGAGCCCCTAATCGCTTCATTTTTAAAATTTTTCTTTTGATTTTACTAACTCATTTTCACTGATAAAGAATTTGTTTTTGCTTTTGTTTAAAGGAAAAGTTAAAATTTACATTTCCACTTTAGCTCTATAGCCATCTTAAGATCTGGATCTGGTTATTCTGGTGACATAGAAGATATACTCATTACCTTGGAGAGGGCCAGGTATCATTTTTAAACAGTAGTTTCATCTCTCACTTCTGTGCAAATATTTACCAAGTTTTTATTGCAGCCCTGGGAGACTTCTAGTTCCGCATTCAAAAGTTGAGCTGTCTATTGGCATCTCAGTGATCATGTCTCAGAGGGGCCTTAGGTTTCTCCAAGTCAGAACAATTTCCTCCTTTCCTTTTTAAAAGATATTTTGTAGGTAGTCCTGGAATACCCTCCCTATGTCTTTTCACAGTTTTGAGTTATTTAGAGATGCATCTAATAAAAGAAAACACACAGTATAACCCGTCTCCACCATTTAAAACATTGAAAGTCAAGAATCATTCCACTGAATTACACCAATTAGTTAACAGTTATCATGTGTATTTATGTATGTGTATGTGAACTGTGGGAAGAGTTCTTTAAAAACTCGGTTGTTGGCTAAGGTAGATGGGTTAGCTGCCCCAGAGAACCATGCAATGGAAGCAGATGCCATGTGCTGGCTCTGGAGGTGGCTCTCACTTGCGACCACATTGCTAACTCTGACCCATCTTACATGGACATTCTGGACACACCACTGTGGGCAGAACCACAGTTGACAAGAATAAGGTCTGATAAAAAAAACAGGAGATTGGAGGAAAATAAAAATGCTATTGTTTGTTTTTTTTTTAAATGGTACTTAAAATTCCTGGGAAGCATCTACTTTCAAAACAAGCCAGACTCCTTGACTTTAAAATCTGCTTCTGAATCACCTTTCTCAGTTGTTGAGGAAATATTATTTCTAAGTGTGAGCTGCTGAGACAGATTCACTCATGGGCATAACAATAATGTACCTCCTTTCAAGTTTGTGAACAGCCTTTACTGCCCTGGTCTGTAATGCCGTTAGCACTTACCTTCTCCCTTTTGTTTCCTTGTCTCAGATCTCAGCAAAATGATTTGTGTGAATGCCAGGTACATAAAAGAATTTATGACATTGTTTGAGGATATCTTTGTTCCTTTTATTCACTGATGTACTACATTTACCTAAAATATAGTAGTTGCTCAATAAATATTTATTGACTGAATGAATGGTGATTTTTCCTGAGCTTGGAGCTGAACAACATCTGTAAGTGTATGGTGGAGAGTTACAGGGAACGGAGGAGCCATGAATGCGGTCTGCCTCCAGCACGGTCCTGTTGTTTTGCTTAAAGGGTGTACTAGTTTCTTAGCGTTGCCACAGCAAATTACCACAAATAGGGTGGCTTAAAACAACAAATTTATTTTCTCACAGTTCTGGAGGCTAAGGTCTGATCAAGATGTTGGCAGGGCCATGCTTCCACCGAAGGCTGTAGGGCAGACTCTTTCCTTGCTTCTAGCTTGTGGTGGTTGCCGGCCAACCGTGTCCCTTGGTAATATAAACTCTAGTCTCTGCCTCTGTCTTCACATGGCCATCTTTCCCTCTTTTTATAAGAACACCAGTCACTGGAAAAGGGCCCACCCTAATCGGATGAGACCTCATTTTAATTTGATTATATCTGCAAAGACCCTGTTTCCAAATAAGGTTCTGGAAGGACACAAATTTTTGGAGGGATGTTATTCAGCTCAGCACAAGAGGGTTGCACAGAATGTCAAATTCGAGATAATCTCAGATTTTAAACTGTTGGTATAAAGTTTAGGGTTGCCCCTTATAGTACTCACAATGTTAATGCGTCTGGGATGATGCCAGCCTAACTTCAGAGAGGAATTTTCTGGAGGGCAGAGATCAGGCCTATGTGGTTCACTACAGTATGCCCAGGGCCAAGCACAATTTCTTAATAATTACAATGTTAACAACATGTTGTTAAGTACTCTATTACTCTGTCTGTATTATCTCAAGCACATAGTAAGTGCTCAATAAATATTTATAGATTGGATACTCTTGGGGAGAACTGAATATATGCATGAATGCAAGCTTTTATTTCTGGTATCCTAGAAGAAATAAAATAATCTCGCTGAAGATAATGTAACTTCTTCCATTGAGAGATTCTCTCCTTTGGTTTGGGGACTGATACTGTGGTAGATATCATTAGGACCTATGTTGAAGGATGTTGACTATCTGCTCTCTTATGTGAGAGCAGTTTATTTTTATTCTTCTGGTCCAAGGATACTGTGCTGAGCTGGATAGCCATGATCCTTGCCTTCTGGAAACTTCTCTCTGGAATTAGATGGCATCACAGCAAATGCTCAACTCCATCAGGACAGTAACATACCAGGGTCAACACTAAGAAATGAAGTACCATTTGTCCTCCTCCACTGGATTTGTCTTTCATACTGGAAGACTGGAAACTCTTATCTAACAGTACCTAATTTCTCTCTCTTTAGGACCACTGAAGCCAGAAATAACTGTCTCCTACATTGCTGTTGCAACAATATTCTTTAACAGTGGACTATCATTAAAAACAGAGGTACTGTCACCTATGGGGCACATGAAAAGCAGGGAGAAAAATTCAGTTTATACTTAATATTTTAAATTTTCAGATCCTTTTGTAAAGCTGTGTGTAGCTGTAGTCTGACGGCTCCACTATAACAGAAGGTAACTTGGACTTCAGCACTGGACTTGTGTTTTGTACGTACGTATTCCACAAACCTTATAGTCAAGCAGCATGGAACCTGAAGATGTGGCTATCATGAGTGTGTTTTTAATATGGCAGCTGAAGTGATGCATCTCCTTCAGGTCTTCCTCAGATTATGGTGGTAACTATACTGTGGCCCCTTTAAGCTGTAGATGTTTATTTGGGCTTCCATAACTTTGTGGATCATCTTTTGTTCCTAGGACTGATGATGTATGAGTGATGCTTGTTAAAACTTTTTAACTAATTTGTATTTTTACAGATGTATATTCTTTGCTAGTGCTGTATAGTTATTAAATGTTAATAGATGTCTTGAGGAAATATTTGTACTTTTTCATACTAAATCTCACTTTATCATGAAGACATACAGGTAATGTTATTTATTGATCCAGGTGTCACTGAATATGGAATTCCTTGGAATTAAATATCCAGACATTTTTATACCCGAGATAGGAATGAGTAGAATATATGATTCCCTTTTGACTTATAATGGAGAAAAAATAGGAGAAAATACCCATTTGCTTTTGAAGAAATTACATAGAGTTTTAAAAGTCATCATTCTAAGCTGCTTAGTCTTACATAGACAGGTTAATTTTACTGTGTAAGAAGGCTTTTTTTTTTAAGGAAATGATTTAAAAACATACAATTCTGTTTGTGCATCATATCTTGTCTTTACTTCAAGTATCTTTCTTTTAAGTGTGATTTGAATAAAGATCAAATTTACTTACCTCTTTTTTGATCGTCCTAGTAGCAACATAGAAAAAAAATGGTTTTACTAAATTTAGGTATTCTGTAGTTAGCAGGTTGGTATAAATCTTTCCATTGGGGTCATTTGGGATATAGATGGGATCCATGTGTAGTGTCTACGACAGATGAAGTGTGTCTCAAGAATGCTAAATATCCTCACTGATTACTGGTCTTCTGAAAATAGCTGACATGGATGGGATTTCCTAAATATGTCAAATTCCAGTTTTTGTAAACTATATTGATAAGAAAGGACTGTGATTAGTACTTAAAGGGCATAGGCTTTACCTGTCAACACCAGAGTTCTATTGGTCCTCAAATGGGGGACAGAATTTACCACTGCTGTGCTGCTGGTCTGATCTTCCTTGGAGGTCTTCTTGCTGGCCTTGGTTAATGCTCTTTGTGAAGCAGCTGCCTCACCCAAGTCCTCTACTTGGGAGGTTGCTCTAACTACGCCCCCTGGTGGCTTCTTAATGGCTACAACTGTTGCTTATGCCATGGGAAATCTGGCAAGAGACTTGATTTCTCTCCTTAGCTTCTTGCTTAATGCTGTTCTGTAAAGCAGCCAACTTTGTGGGATGCAGAAATTGAAGAAGGAATGTCACAGTTATCAGCACTTCTCTAAGGACCAAATTCTTCTGTAAGCACCTAGGAAACCTTCAGAGTCATCCAACTAATTTGGATCTAATGATGAAATATGCCTGGATCCCTGGCCTTTCTTATGTATCTAAGAAGCCATCAGAACCATTTCCTCCACGAAAGACCCTTTTGAAATGAATACAACATTAAGTCATTTTCAAGATCCATTTAACTTAAGATGGCCTAGATTGCATCTTTGTGTAAAGTTAAGCCATCTCTAAGCCCTGCTAATTTCTTGGGCAATAGAAGGTAGCAATCTTGTTATTTGTTTTCTAGTTAATAATCTTAAATTAATTTCAATTGGGACTATTTTTGTATCCTATTAGGTCTTAGAATCATGCATTTTTGCACACAGAAGACGGTGAGTTATTATTGACTTGAATTTATTTGAAAGCATTTATTATGGTCCCATTCGAGTTTGATTCATATTGAACATTACTCATACATTGATGTAATGATGTGAATTCTAAAGTTTGTTTTGCTCATTTATTAAAATTATAAAGAGCTCTGTGTTAACACTTCATGCTAAAAAGATTTAATGCTAAATCTTCAGTTTTTTTAACTGTTGATTTCTAGTTTTTGAAATATGTGTTGAAATGGTTTCTGAAATATTATTATACTGAAATGTAATAATGTCACCTTTGAGATTTATTTTATATATAGCTAACTTCAAACCTGCAGTTTCAGAGGATTTGTCACTTAACAGACCATGGCAAGACCAATTTATTTAAACAAATAACCTATCAAGTGCCTATCACTACAACACACCATGCTTGGCACAGGGATAGAAACAAAGATGAGCAGGATTTTAAGGTGTTACTTGCTTTTTCTTTTCCAGTGTTACCTTATTTTCTCTTTACTGTTGTATGAAGATCTAGAAAACCTATAATACTAGGTTTTTGTGACAGTCTTGAAAATCTTTCGTAGGAAACACTTCATGTCTGTTATTTCCCTGTTGTTAAGAGGCCCCAACACGGTAGGCTCTTGTGATTCATTTTGATGAGTTCTTACTGATCCATTATTCTGATGTGATATCAATTGTTTCTAATTGTCATTTATTAGGTCATGCAGTAGTCTCTAACTGCATTTTATTTTTCATAACTCTTTTCTGATTATAGAAGTGGTATTTCCCTATTGTAGAAAGATTAGAAAGAGTAAAAATAACTGTTCTAACATTTGTGTGCTTTTGTACTTTTTTTCTTAAACATATTTTACATATAGAATGTTTTAAAAATAAAATATTTTTTTAAAATTATATATATGTATATAGGTATATGCAATTTTTCATGTAATTTAATACTGTTATTTAATTTTTCTTCACTTATACATTGAAAAATAAAATAATTTACATTTTTTTTTACTTTTATGTACATAAATCAAAAGGTCCAAAAGTATATATGATGAAAAGTCGTCCTTACACCCCTTTACCAGCTATCTATCCATTTCTCTTCTCTGGTGATAACAGTTTCTGTGTGTCTTTCCAGAGATATTCTATGCAAAACATACATATCTGTATCCATCCCTTTAAACTGTTATTTTATGCTGTTTGTCACTTTACCTTATTTAACTCAGAAACATATCTTGGAGATTATTTTATTTTATATCAACATATAAAGAACTCCCTGTTTCTTTGTGTATGCTGAAAAATATTCTATTTTATGAATGTGTCACGTTACATTTTCCTGGTCCCCTATTGGTGGACATTTAGGTAATAACCATGTTTTGCTGTTATAAACACTCTGCAAAGGACACTAAAAACATGTCATTTCCCACATTTTGGAGTATAGGTGAAGAGCTAATTCCTGGAAGTGGAATTTATAGGTCAAAATGATATATGCAGTTTAAGTTGTGATAGATTCTCCAAGTACCTAGTGTGCTGGGCTGCATATCTGGTGCTTTGGCCAGACGGGTCATGCTGTGCTGTCTGTTCCTAAAACACATAGATAGGAAGGTAATGACATCAGGCCAGGCCTTGAGATATGGTCTCATGGCCCCTTCCCAGCACGCAGGCCTTCTTTCTCAGAAGGCCCGGAAGTCTCATTCCAAATTTGGGAGACAAAGGACTGGAAAAAGTATAAATAAAGAGAGTTTCCTCCATATTGGGGGCCCAGAATTTGAAAGACACATTTGTCTCTGGGCCTCCACAAAATTTAATAATAAAATGTAACTCTTGCAATCAGCGCTGCAGTTCAGCCTCTGCTTCGGCAGGGTGCTGTAACTGTAGTCGCTGGTCATGGAAATCGGGGCTGCAGTTCAGCCTCTGCTTCGGCAGGGTGCTGTAACTGTAGTCAGCTGGCCAGCTTAATAAAGGCTCTTAAATTTAAATTCTGAGTCAGTGGTCTATCTTGCTGAGTGAACCCATAACACCTAGAATGGTGGCAGGTGCTCAGTAAGTATTTGTCGAATGAAGAAATGAGTTGCCAGATTGCTGTCCACAGGTTGTGCCAGTTTATATGCTGATTAAGTAGGGAGAGACCCTGTGCTCTTACATCCTTGTATACAGTTTTAACATAGTTTGAATAGCTCTTAACACTGTTTAATTCTTACCTTATATGGTTATTCTTCCATTGTTGGACATTTAAGTTGTTTCCAGATTTTACCATAATGGATAATGCTGTGAGGATCAATTCTGTGTATAAATGCTTGTAACCATTTTTTATATTGTTGGGATAAATGCCTAGATATAAAATTTTGGGATCTAAGAATATAAATTGTATTATAGTCCCTGATATATATCCCCAATTTACTTTTTAGAAAAGTTACACTATTTTATATTTCTATGAGAAGTATATGCAAATGCCTTAATTACTGCATTGTGGCTAATCATTTTATTACAATTTAAACAATTGAAAACACTCATATGTATTTGGTATTTATTGAATGCCTCTGAGTATATCTGTGTGAGATTTGGTTTCAAGACTGCTGAGGATTCTGGGTACTGCTGGTGCTCAGGTGTCTCTGGGGTGAAACTTATGATTCAGAGCGAGGATGGCTCCTTTTCTCTTAGCTCTGATCCATGGACCTGGTATGGCTTCTGGTCTGTCCAGTGTTTCCCTACATTATTCCGGATTACCGGAAGTTCCTTAAATACCATTAAAGACATCTTGTGGCCGAAATGGAACTGCTGTGTGCCTTCACACAGGGAGATAAATAGGGGGCCTCTGAGACAGATCCTAGAGGTGGTGGTCAGTGAATGAGTTTGTCCTGACCTACTGTTTATTAAACGATAAACTCCAGCTCATGCCTCTGAGGCTGAGGCTCTTTTGAAAGTCTTGCTTGAACTGGGGGTTGTGGGGATATTATTATTATAGTAACTCTCTGGCAACTTTGAATGCACTTTAATGAGTGCCTGAATGTTATATGTCAGTTTTCTACTACTTTCTGAATGTGTTTTATTTCCACTGAAAAACCACACAACTCAAAGAAATTCAAATGCAAACACTTGTTAGTATATATTTAAACCCTCAAATTTAACTGAGTACCTTTTAGTTGTGAGACTCATAACATGTGCCTGGCTTGTCCTGTTTGGTGGGAATTTTCTCCCTCCCTGGCAGTAGGATGACACAGGCACAGGTTATTGGGTTTGATTCCGAGCTTCACTGTGTAGTAGCTCTCAACCTCAAGTTCCTCATCAGTAAAACAGGAAAAATAACATCCACCTAATGGTGTTGATGTGAGGATTAAATGAGATGACATACATAAAGTGGCAAGCTCAGAGAATGGCATACAACTACTATTCAGTAAATGTTAACAAAGAAAATGAGTGAGTCAATTTTGTGGAAACAGCCGTTTTTAATTATAGAATGTTGTTGGGGGGAACATTTTTAAAAATTATGATCTGTGTGTAGATTTAGTAACATCTTGCCAAATTGAGGCCTTTCTAGGTCTGATATAATGACCAGAGGTTAATTATCTTATAAAATTGTGATAGGTTCTACTAAAATTTTAAATAAGATTTATTTTTTTTCAATGTTTAAACGTACATGTTTGTTGCAGTGTCAACAGTTCTCAAATGTACCAGTAGTTAGCTTAGTCCTGGTCCAGAATTTCACAAATCTGAATTATTGTGATATATTGTATATTGGAAAGCAATTAGAATATTTCAGAAATTTTATATAAAAATTATAATCTTCATGAATAACTTCATAACCATCATCAACTTTTTTCTTAAGGTTTGTCTCTTATGCAATAACTTTTCTCTTAAAATTTGTCTCTTAATACTTATGCATAATCTCATATGCATAGGTTAAAATATTTAGCTATGAAATAACTCCAAATTGATGTATGTAGCCAGACTTAATGTGCTGATCAATTTACAATATATATAAATACTGAATCATCATGTTATACACCTGAAACTAATATAATGTTATATATCAATTATATCTCAATTAAAAAAACAATTTATGTGATGTTATTTTAGTACCAACCTATCTTCAGAAATAGTTTTCTTAATTTTTTTTATCTTGTGTCCTTTTTTGCAGGAGCTGACCAGTGCTTTGGTGCATATACGACTGCATCTTTTCATTCAGATCTTTACGCTTGCATTCTTCCCAGCAGCAATATGGCTTTTTCTTCAGCTTTTATCAATCACACCGATCAATGAATGGCTTTTGAAAGGGTATGTTTAAATATTTTGAAGAGTTACTTTTTAATTAATTAATTACTTTTTAAATTGTTGACACTATTACAGATGCCTTCCCCCCATATTTGCCTCTGTCCACCCAGCCCCACTCTTCTGCCTTCACTACATTGTTGTCTGTGTTCATGGACTATGCATATATGTTCTTGGAGGGTCCACTTTTAATGGGACATCTCTAGTGACATTATTTCCATAGCAACTTATGTGTGATATCTTATAAGAAAATAAAAACACTTTTAACATTATTATTATCCTTCAACTCAAGGTTTTAGGAATTTAAAAGAGTTGTGGGAATTTAAAAGAGTTGTGTTTCTGGGAATTTAAAAGAGTTGTTTTGGGAGAAAACTGGAAGGGACTAGAGGATGTAAGATCTGTATGTATGAAAAAAGATAGGCTGTCAATTGGTGCTTTAACTTTTGTGATTTATCTTACCAAATGTACAGAGATAATGGCTTTAAAAATATATAGAAAAGAAAAACATATACAGGGGACAAACATTTATTTTTTCACCTGTTCTGTATTATGTTTGATTGGGTAGTTGATTTAACAATAGATTTTTATTAGAATCATTTCTTCCATTAAAAATATTGTCATGTTTATTTAAAGGATTTGATGATTTAAAAAAAAATTATTTGAATTGGTTTAGAACTGACCTTATGTTAGCATCCTATATAATAAAGAACTAATATGCAAATGGTTGTCATTCCCTTGCGCTGGGGCTGGGGAACCTGAGGCTGCGCCGGGGGACCTGAGGCTGCACCCCCCCCGCCCGGCGGGGTTTGAGGGGGGTGGGGCTGGCTGGGTCTGGGTCTCGCGTGATTTGAAGGCGCGTGTGGGTGGGCGGGGACTTGACTCTGGGTCCTGCGATGTGCCCCAGACTCTGACAGGAGGGAGATTTTCATATACATTTTACTAATTTTCTTTCATCTCTGACACTGTATTATAGCAAAAGGGCAAATAACAATATTCAAATATTTCCTCTAAGTAATTCCCTTTTAATGTGCATGAATTTCATGCACCGGACCACTAGTCATGGTATAATAGCTAAAATACTGAACTTAAAGGCCGAAGATTGCATTCTGACTCTGTCCCTAACTTGCTAGGTGACTTTGAGGCATTTAATAGTTTTGAACCTCAGTTTCCCAGTTCATAAAATGAAGATAATTATGCTTTTACTGCCTGCTTTAATAGCAATATCAGGGAAATCACTTATTTAACTCCTGCTATGTACCAGGAATTATTATAAGTATTGGAAAACCAACACTGAACAAAATGGGCCAAGAGTGAGTTTTGCACATTGAAGAGACTTTGGATGTGCTTGTCAGTAAACAAGTAAATAGATGATTAAGATAGAAGTAAGTGATGCAAAGTAAAGCACTATGATATCCTTAAGTGGTTGGGTGCACAGGCTGGTGATTAATTTAGATTGTAGAGTTCATGGGGCAGAGTGTTCTAGGCAAAGGAAACAGAATGTTCAAAGGCTCCAAGGCAGGAATAACCCTGGTGCGTTTGAGGGTCAGGAAAGCGACCATGGTGGCCAGAGCCTGCTGACATGGAGGAGGAATACTATGACTTGGGGTTGGAAAGGTGGGCAGAAACCAGTCACTCAGCATTGTGGGCCATGGTAATGCATTCAGAGTTTATTCTGAGCAGTACAGAAAACCACCAGAGGGAATTAAATGAGAAAGTGGTGTTGTCTGATTTATATTTGCAAATGATTCTCCTGGCTAGTCTGTGGAAAATAATAGATAATAGAAGGGCCTGAGAGAAAGCTAGGAGACCAGCTGGGAGGCTAGCATGGTATAGCAGCGCAGTAGGGAGAAATTGATGTGTAAAGGATATATTTTAAAATTGGAGTTCTCAGAACCCATGGATGGATAGGATATGGAGAGAGGAGGACAGGAAGGAATCAAGGATGACTTCTAGATTTTGGGTATGAGCCACTGGGTAATTGGTGACATCCTTTACTTAGCTGGAGAGAAGTAGAACAAGAGGGGAAAATCAAGAGGCTGTTTTGGCCAGATTGAGTTTGAGAGAGTGAACATAAAATTTTGCTGAAAAGCATAAAATGTCACAGAAATATAATGACATCATTTTAGAACAACAATGTACGAGATGGGCAAAAGTAGGTTTGCAGTTGTCATACAAATAACACAATAATTAATAAATAATAATACAACAATAAGCTCTGTTTCACATACTCATAACTGAAAACCTACTTTTGCCCACCTCTGTATAATGCATATTAAGAACCAATAGATATCAAGTATCTGCACTCAAGAAATAGGAAGATATTAACTCAGTTTGCTTGTATTAAAGGAACTTTCAATTTAGTTCATGTGTAGGATATATATATATACATATATATATATATATATATATATATACCCTATCTAATAATAGACAAACATGGTAATTGACCGTACCTTCGCTATGCCTCCCATTGGCTAATCAGCATGATATGCAAATTAACCGTCAACAAAGATGGCTAATTTGCATACTGAAGGCAGGGCAGGACAGCGTCATCCCGCCTGCCCTGCTGCCATCTGGGCCTGCTATCTGCGACCTGGGGCGGCGGGCGTCCATGTGCGACCCGACCGGGGCAGCTGGGCAGTGCAGCAGCGATCGGCCAGCCCGCCTGGCACCATCCGGGCATCCCGTGTGCGACCTGACCCGGGGCAGCCAGGCGGGACAGCAGCGATCGGCCGACCCACCCGGGTGTCCCGTGTGCGACCCGACCTTGGGCGACCGGGTGGGGCAGTAGTGATCCGCTGGCCCGCCCAGGCGTCCAGTGTGCGACCCAACCCGAGGCGGTCGGGCGGGGCAGCAGCAATTGGCCGGCCCGCCCGGGCATCCGTGTGCAACCTGCCTAGGGCATCCTGTGTGCGCCCCAACCTGGGGCATCCCGTGTGTGACCCGACCTGGGGCGGCGCCCCAACCCCCGGATTGGCCCTGCCGTGTGCGCTGCCCCGGGGCGGCACCCCAACCCCCGGATCGGCCCTGCTGTGTGCACAACCCGGGGCGGTGGGGCAGGCACCGAGAGATTGGGCCTGCCATCTGCCACCCAGGGAGCTGGCCTAAGCCAGCAGGTGGTTATCTCCCGAGGGGTCCCAGACTGTGAGAGGGCACAAGTGGGACTGAGGGACACTCTCCCACCCCCCCTCTCCTGCCAGTGCACAAATTTTTGTGCACCGGGCCTCTAGTATATATATAAAATAGTGACCAACCTAATGGGGCAGCATATGATTTGTCAGATGAGTGGTGTAATCAGTTAAAGGATAAGAGGTTTAGCAAGGGTTGTGTACTCCTAAAGCAGAGATTTCAAATATGAGACATTAGTGGAGGAAAGATTAAAAGCTTCTTTACTTCCTCCTCTCCAATGTGGATGCCTTTTATTTCTTCTTCTTGTCAGATCGCTGTGGCTAGGACTTCCAGTACTATGTTAATAAGAGTGGTGAAAGGACATCCCTGTCTCATTTCTGTTCCTAAGGGAAACAGTTTAAGTTTTTTGCCCATTGAGTATGGTGTTGGCTATAGGTTCGTAATATATAGCCTTTACTGCTGTTTGGCCTAATGATCCCACTTCTGGGAATATATCCTAAGAATCTTGAAACACCAATCAGAAAGAATATATGCATCATGAGATGAAAGTTTTGAGAATTGCTGTTTTGTAGAAAGGAATAAACACATGTAAGCTTGTGTTTTGTTAAATATTTTTGAACTTTGGAAGTGGTTTTAAAGTTTTATTTTTTCGTAAAGACTTTCTACCAAAAAAATGTAAGGAAAAGATACCTGAAATAAGACTCAGGCTAAATTATATACATTTTGGTTATCTTTCAATGACTATACTTACTCTAACTTGAATGTTTTTTTTTAATTATATAATAAAAGCTTAAATAATTTAAAAAATAAAGTCACCTAAAATTATGAATGAAATGAGAGCTTCCTCAGGCATTTGCAGCATCTTCTAAGCCATATTGCTTCACATAGAATTGTCTGAACTCAACAGGGCATGTGCATCAATAATCACTCTTCTATTTTCATTTACGCAGCTCTGCAATTTTAGAATGAATGTAGTGACACTATTTGTGATTGAAAAATGCTATTTATAATTGCACTTTCTTTTATTTTTCAGTTTGCAGACTGTAGGTTGCATGCCTCCCCCTGTATCTTCTGCAGTGATTTTAACCAAGGCAGTCGGTGGAAATGAGGTGAGTCAAGGGGCTAATTGTTTAAACAGAAACGGGTGCTGTGCTTTTATGTTTATATTCTATTTTATGATATAGGAGTCATGTAGCAGAAAACATATAACCATAGCAGCTTATGAAAGAAGCGAGTTATTTATGTATTAGGATGATGTTGAAATTGATGACAGTGAGTTGAATTTGGGATTTCAAAGGAGGTGAATGAAATGGGGATGGGAATTTCTCTACCTCAGTGGGAAATTGGGAGACAGAGGACAAGGGATTCAAGAAAAGGGACTTTTCATTCAAGACTCACAAACTGAGGACACCTGCTATGGCCATTCCTTAATTCTTTAAAAAATTGTAAGGAATTAAATTTGTGGGAAAGGGGTCAGTATAAGTCTCATGACTAGTGAAGATGATATACAAAGGAAAAATGAGGTCAGCCCAGCTGGTGTGGCTCAGTGGTTGAGTGTTGACCCATATACCAAGAGGTCACTGGTTTGATTCCTAGTCAGGGCACATAGGGGTAATCTAACCTGGGGATAGAGCCCAGGTTTCAGGCTCTATCCTCAGTAGGGAGCATGCTGGAGGCAGCCAATCGATGTTTCTCATTAATGTTTCTATCTCTCTATCCCTCTCTTCTTCTCTCTTTAAAATCAATAACATATTTTTTTAAAAAAGGAAATGAGGCCAGATTTCTAAGATAAGTTTAAAAACATTATCCAGCTGCTAGCGGACTGTGACATAAGAAGAGTGCTTGTGTATTGGGATAGCAGTTATTCATTTAAAGAACTCCTTATAAGTGGCTCTTCTGAGTTGAAAGGCCTTACAACTTTGTACTGAGGGACTTTGCTTTGTATTCCCCCTTTTCCACTTATAGTCCATCATTTAGAAAATAATACTATTGAATAAGGGAAGATATAAGGGGTTGCCACTTCAGTCATCCTTAGGAGTTTGCTTTCTTAGCATCTATTTTCGTTTTCATCCATTTTATTAATTGCAAAAATATTTCTTGATCACATGCTATATTCTTTTTAAATACAGGGTTATTGAAATATTATTGACATACAATAAACTGCACAAATTTAAGCAATTTAATGTTTTGGCATATGTATATATCTGTGAAATCACTACAATGAAGATAGTGAACATGTCCATTACCGACAAAAGTTTCCTTGTACCCTTTGGTAATCCTTCCCTCCTGTTCTTCTTAGCACCCCCCTTCCCCTAGCAACCACTGATCTGTTTTCTGTCACTGTGCATTAGTTTGCATTTTCTAGAGTTTTATATAATGGATCATGCAGTGTATACTCTTTTTTTTTCTGTCTTTTTTACTCAGAATACTTATTTTGAGTTTCATCTATATTGTGTGTATCAGTAATTCATTACTTTTTATTGCTGAGACGTATTGTTTTGTATGGATGTGCCACAATTTGTTTATCTGTTCACTTGTTGATGGACATTCAGGTAGTTTTCACGCTGGGGCTGTGGACATTTGTGTACAGATCTTTACATGGACATAAACTTTCAATTCTCTCGGGAATACTAAGCAGGAGAATGGCTGGATCATCTAGAAGGTATATGTTTTAGTGCATTTTAACCAAGGGAGGAATCACCAATAAATAGTTATAAATCACCTATAAATAGCTTTTGAATTGAACCGTTTCTTTTATTAGTAAATATGCAGGCACACTCCTTTTTACCACAGGTGCATGTTTACCTTTTTAAGAAATTGCCAAAGTATTTTCAAAAGGGGTTGGACCATTTTACATTTCAAGCAGCTGTGTAAGAGTTCCCAGTGCTCCACATCTCAGCAGTGCTTGGTATTGTCAGTCTTTAATTTCAGCCATTCTGGTATGTGTGGAGTGGTATCTCATTGGGGCTTTAATTTAATTTGCATGTTTTAGTGACTAGTGATGGTAAGTGGTATTATCTTTCCATGGCTTATTTACTATCCATGTCTTTTTTAGTAAAATGTTTATTAAATCTTTTGCTTTTTTAAAATTGGGTATTTCACTTTCTTATTGATGAGAGTTGAGAGTTTTATATATTCTGGATCCAATTCCCCCTCCATCCACTGAGCCAAACCGGCTAGGGCCCCCCTCATTAGATATATGCTTTGTAAATATTTCCTCCCAGTGTGTGGTTTGTTTTTTCAATTTCTTACCAGAGTCTTGAAGAGCAGGATGATAGTGGAGGCACTGAAATGAGGTTGGATGCCATATGCATTTTGAAGGCACAGGATATGTTTATGAATTGGATGTGGAATGTGAGAGAAAGCGGTGTCAAGAATGACCTCAAGGTTTTTGAGCAGCTGACAGGATGGAGTTGGAGATGAGTACTTGTGAGAGCAGGTTTGGGAGGTATCAGTCTGGTGATAACTAAGAATGCCAAAATCTCAATGGCTACCTGTATAGGTTTATTTCTTACTCATAGTACATGTCCCATGTTGGTCAATTGGAAGGTCTTTCCTGTCATTAAGGAAGCCTGGTTAATGGAGGCCCCATTTGTATGGAACACAGAGCATTTACAGTTGCCACAGCAGGGAAAGAGAGATTGGAGAGTCACCAATGGGCTTTTCACTGTCCAGGCTGGAAGGGGTACATGGCACTTCTGCTCACATTAAATTGGCCAGAATAAGTCGTATATCTTCACCATGTGTTGTCATTGATGTGCCCTGAATGAGAAGAGAACTGGATGTTGGTGAACACTCGTAATGTCATCCATGTGGGTAAAGATCAAGAGGTTGTGTTTTTGTTGTATTAAGATACCTATTACATACCCAAATGAAAATGTCAGTAAGCAACTAGAGATACAGAGTTGAGAGTTCAGGTCTAAACTGGAGATATAAATTAGGGAGTCATCAGTGAGTAAATGGTATTTCAAGCCAAGATTGGAGGAGATCACCTGGGGAGAGAGCATAATTAGAAAAGAAACAGGTTCAAGGGCTCAGCTCTGGGACCCTCCATCATTAAGAGGTCATGACAGTGAGGATTAACCAGCAAAGGCAACATAGAAAAAATAATTAGTGAAATGTAAAGAAAAACAAGAAATCATGGTATCTTGAAACCAGACGATGAAAGTGTTTGAAGGAAGAGGGTATGATCAGCTATTCTGCTGATTAAGTGGTATAAGGTGAATTCTGAGAATTGACCCTTGAATTACGCTACATGGAGGTTACTGGTAACCTTGGCCAGAGTGGTTTCAGTGGGATATAGGGGCAAATGCTTGTTTGGAGTAGGTTCAAGGGAAAACAGGAAGAGGGAAGAGAGGAATTAGAGATAAGAGTTATAGACATCATTTTGAGGTCCTTTGTGATAAAGGGAACTAATAACTGAGGCTGTATTTAGATGGGATGTGTGATTAAGATTTTTAAGTACAGAAATGACGGCATGTTTCTGTCATGTTGGGAACTGTACAGTAGAGAGGGAGCTGGATGACTTTTATTTTTTCTCAGCAGCTGAGAGTCATGACAGGGTAAGTGCTATGAATGTTTGAGTTGAGAGGAGAAACGTGCCATTGCCGCCGCGCTGAGGAGAGTGGGTTAGCTGGAGAGTAGGGTAGCATTGCAGGCAGCACTGAGGACCCAGCTGAGATTTAGTCATTCATTTAAAGGGAAGCCAGGCATCATGGTTGTGTGTTTTTTCTTAGCCCTATTTAGCTTTTTGGCGTAGGAATAGAATTGGCGGATAGTTGGAAACCCGGCGTTTCATTATTCCAGCTAATTCTTTCACCTAATAATTAGTGAGATAGAGGGGTTATAGGAGTCAGACTGATTCTTGCTTTGATTTTCTATCACCTTGAAATAATTTGAGGAAAGGGTTTCTTTTGGAATATCAGAGACTGGTGTTAAGGGTTTAAATGTGTCATTTATCTCTTTCATTCTAATGTGATTCCCTTAAGAGCTGTAAGGCCAAAAAACCTTTTTGTTCTCAAATTACTTTTGGCAGAAGTTCAAAGTTCACTCATTTTCTTGTCATTAATAGACAGCATTAAAAAGTGTATTTACATGTTCATTCCTTAGTAAATATTTAACTTGTTTACATTAATGTATGCTAATAATGTTGAGTTTACAAACATTTCCTTTGTTTTCTAATATCATTGGTCTAGTTCTTTAAATGTGTGTATGGTGAGTCTTCATGACTATCAAGCATTGGGAAGTAAGATGCAATTTTTCACAAATACTGAAAATTGAACTTCAGAAATGAAGCTTGTAAAGTCCAGTTTGGCCATATCTTCTGATATGAAATGAATAGACTTTCTTATACTTATGTCAGATTATGGAAGGAAATGATCAGCAAGTAAAAATAGTAGATCATTTTAAGTTTAATGTTTTTCTAAAGTAATGTTACAAAGTAACTGAATATAAGCTCTTGCTGAAATAAATTTAAGGGAAGATTAACCTAGTCTACGGATGAAAAGTGAATTTATTGGTGCATGTGAATGAAAAGGTCCAAATGCTGAATTCAGTGTCAGGTGCCATTGGGTGACGGTTCTGAGTCTACATCTCTGTGATTCACGGTTCTGTCTCCATGCAGCAGCTTTGTACCCACGGGGTTTTAACACAGCAGGAAAATTGCTGGGGCGCATTTCCATGTCCTTTCAAACTGACTAGTCTTTGCAGTATTTATGGCATGTAAGAAACCTTTTTTTTTTTTAAATTGCACTTTGTGTTACAAAACTTCTTAACATTTAGTTTATGCTCTCATATATTTACATATACATCTTTTTTTAAAAATATATTTTATTGATTTTTTACAGAGAGGAAGGGAGAGAGATAGAGAGTTAGAAACATCGATGAGAGAGAAACATCGATCAGCTGCCTCCTGCACACCTCCTACTGGGGATGTGCCCGCAACCCAGGTACATGCCCTTGACCGGAATCGAACCTGGGACCTTTCAGTCGGCAGGCCGACGCTCTATCCACTGAGCCAAACCGGTTCTGGCTTACATATACATCTTTAGTATATATACATGTTTAGTATATGTCCTCATGTATAAAAGAACATCTGTGATTATGTAGC